AAAATCCTCTAAAATCAACTGGTTTGTCCAATCCTAACCAGAAAACGACATGAGTTTACCCAAATAGCAAAATATTTGATATACCCGGAACATGTGGTCCATGTTGCACTTGTGTTGTGGTGTAACCTCATACCACTAGTGTAACAAACAGCAGACAGCGAAGGGATATCACCGCCTGTTACTCTTGAACCATACACTGACTACATTACCACTACCGTGTCCGCCAGTGGAAGTGACATAGTTCCTGCTACGCCATGGGGATGTATATTCATTATTGTGAATAAATCACTATGTGGTGCATATTGTAAATATGATTGAACACAGTCCCTCAAGCGTTGATATGGATTGGTATATAAACGACGCGAAATAAACCCATTTAATAAAAGCTCAAAAATAACAGTAATATTGCCATTTATAATCTTTATCTCTGACTGCCCTACTTTTTTATTTATTTAATTAAGAGCTCACTCTGGAAATACATAAAATAATCATCATTTAAAATTATTGTGTACATTCTAATATATTGTATTTTGTTTTCCTGAGAAATCCTAAATGTCTATTTGTCTCCAATTTAATCTGTGAAATGTAACCATTCTTGCAGCCTGGATTGGATTAAATTAAATTAACACGTTTTTTTTGTGTTTGCTCGTGCGACACAGATGACACATTATCATCGGGATGTAACGATAGAGCTATTAAAAATTCCTTGTATTTTTTTTTTTTATTAGATTCGAATTGTTGCTGTAACTTATACCACGATTCGTTTAGATTGGGCACGTTTGATCGTGATTACGAATGTTATCCCTCCTTGTATATTTTGTTCGCCCGCATGTTTGTGTCGCTACAGCGGGTGTCACGGTTGCTCTGTGGTCGGTGAATGCATAGTCACGGTACCAGCACAATGGTGACTCGGGTGAATTCTCCGTTATTGTTTTTTTTTAATGTAAAACTGCTTCTATCCTGTCTTGACTTCGTATCAGCGGATCGAGCTCGACAGGATACTGAGAATACACACCCGGATCAACTTATTTAACGACGTGTTTCTACTGTTTCTTACTTCCGTTATCAGTTCAGGTCCGCTCCGCTCCATTCGACCTAAAGAAGTTCGACCTCGGAGTTTCGGTCCAGTGGTTCGAAGTATATATACTTGAAAACTAAAAACTTGTGGATTATAATTGGGAAATACATTTTTTATCGCAACTTATAAATGTAATGCACTCGTATTTATTAAAGGCATGTTCTTTATCGCATTCTTGCATGGCTAACTTCCTACAACACTCGTTCCGTTGTTTGTATTTGGACAACCTCTGCGTGACCTCCTCGGGGAGTCTGCCATTAATATATACTTATTTAGCGTATTCGCTATTATTCTGTAACATTTCTAGAATAGAAAAATTCTACTAAAAATAATCCAGCGCAACTCACTAAAACTGTTTGTGAATAATACTGTATTTAAGGGGAAAAAACCCATCAACCCGCTGTTGTTGCATTTCCCACATGGAGGGAAGCCAGCTGTCTGCACAGCAACACAAGGCTTCATTTATCAGATTCAGCCCAGGGTGTCAGCATATAACGCACAATGCGATAGGCCATTTTTTCATGTGTGAAAATAAAAGCCAATCAGATGGTCTGTTACAAACGAAGAATCGGTTCGTAGTATTTCTTTCAGCAATGAGTAATGTTGTCAATTACAGTCACTGCACGTTGACTCTATTCAGTTCAATTTCTCACCTCAAATCTCCGATCCTGACCCAAATTGACAATAATTACGTATCTTAGGCGGTAAGTGTACACTTTTAATCCAGTATTTACTGAAAACTTACTGACATGCGAGTCAAAATGTAATTTTTTTCGACCCATTTTGGGTCGAGTTACTGTGAGCACTGAGGCTGACCGGTTTTGTATATGTAACGAAAACGTTTGTTTTGAGAGGCATATTCAGTGTTAGTCTGCGTAGTGTTTTTGAGATAAAACATAAGTTGCTCAGTCTGGGAAGCGAACAGTTTTTTACAATGAGATCACGTTTCCCATCACTACAACGTGTGTTGGGTTTTTATCCTTAGTTTCTTCTCCGGGCACGAAACGGGGAGAAAGTTGTATTTTCCTTTGTTACGCTATGAGTGTACGCCTCGTATAGGCATGGTATAGGCTTTGTCAAGTAACTCAGCCTACGGTTAATCAAAAGATTTTCATTTTTTGAGTACACCAAAGTTCCTACGATCTCCATTGTCATTAATCGCAGTAATAAATAACAAATTATGCGTTTTCGTCTCCGTTATTTGACTTCACGAAGACTCTCCTGTAATTTCTATATCTGCTCATCGGAAGTGTGTTGTTTGCATGATTGATTTGACTAAATCCTCCGGTTCATGTGGCTGAGACATAAAGCGTTTCCACATGACTGGGTCTGTATAACCCGCTGTTTTGTTGGCGATCTGTCGTTCATTATGTCCCCACAAAGCGTAATTGTCAATGAGTATACTCTGACCACCAATAACATAATAGGCAGTCAGGGCCGTTTTATCGTCTGCTGACCGATCGGTCACTTGGCTCACTTCCTAGCTGTGCACACCTTTCCTTTTGGCAGAACGCTCACCGACAAAACTTCGGCTGTCACCAGTAGTTTCTCAAAATTACGCTACCGCTGGATTTATCAAAGCAAAAGCCTGTTACTAAGTCGAATCCAACCTCCATAAATTTAAGCGTGATAATATCAACTTTTAATACAATTGGCCACAGATGGTAACTGATTTTAATTTCCCCGGTCTCTGGGTAACCGTAAATAAAAAATTCCTTGCATAGGTGTCAAAACCATTAGTAACATAGGGTGTTTATTATTCTTGGCAGTGCAAGATATTTGCAACACTAGCAAGTCGGTTTACTCTGGCTACTAAATAATCACGTGAATGAATGATACTGTGAAATCAGCATAATACTTGAAGCTGTTTGAGATGACTAAACGGGAGTATTCATGAGTTTAAATCTGCCTGATTGTCAGGCTTTTAGCTAAATTCTCCCTGTATGTAACTCAATCAGATGGCCTAATAATTCATTCACAGTGATAGTATAATAACTGTTATGTAAGCACTTTAATATCATTCTGGTTATGATTTATTGGCTTCTAATAGTATCTGCTTGTTGTTATTTTATGTTATAGGGATTGACCATTAGAAAATTAGGGGAGGGATGTTAATTTGAGATACAAATCTGTACTTAAAAAATAATTGTGAAAACAAATGCTACAGGGAAAATAAAAAAAAATATGTATAGAGAAAATAAAAAAAAAATCATCCTGATAAAATAAGTGAATTCCATACTATCTAATGGTTGAACACTGTACCTGAAATTGGAGTATGTTTTATCTTGTTATTTTGTGTATCTTTGATTTATATCCAAAATTATTTTGAAATAAAGAGCATCCTGGGAATCTTTTAACTTCACATTTTTTGACAGAAATCTCCCTCAAAGGGGTGATAACTATAAACTTTGCATTATCACACAAATTCCACCCAAAGGAGGGATCGTTACGTACTACATTTCTAAATGAAGCTTCACACCATTCTACAGACTTAAGCTATTAAGCTTGATAATAAAGGAGCCACTTTAATCTTGTTTAATCTACCAAAAATTGTGAAGACCTGTTTTTTTTTACCTCCCTCCAACCTAAATCTAAACACTCCGACCCACCCAATGTAATTGTACCTCTTCCACATAACTATACATGTTTCTTAGGGAGTCACAGTGAATATTTCATTGGATTTTTAGTGAGTCACAGAGAACATTTCATTGGATTTTTAGGGAGTCACAGTGAACATTTCATTGGATTCTTAAGGAGTCACAGTGAACATTTCATTGGATTCTTAGGGAGTCACAGTGAATATTTCACTGGGTTTTAAGGAGTTAGTGAACGTTTTACTCTGTTGTTAGGGAGTGACTGAAATTTCACTGGAAATTTGAGACAAGTGCGAGTACAAGTGCATTTTGGAATGCTATAGAAAGAAAAAAAAAACGTTCGAGGCGCATAGTTCAAAATGATGCGCGCAGAAACGAGAAACGGAGCTCTTTTTTCTCAGCCTTATAGATATAGGTTGCCAAATTACTCATAATACCTTCCAATACTGTGCTTTAACAGATTAATATGATAATACTATTATAAATTCTCTCTAATTAACATGATGTTAGTGAAGTCTGCTGAATGTCTATAATCAATTTCCAATTACAGCTAGTGAGAAACTGCTGAGAAAGTCCCAAGGCATTGCACATTTGTATCAAGCATCAAGCGTAACATTTCGGTTGAGTTTGTTTAACCTCTATTTGTTGCTTGAAATTGTAACACAATAACAATATAATTTCAATATAATACATAATAGACGCTTGACCACATTATTTTATTATATCAATTAGATTATTAATAAAAAAATTAAGTTATTATGACTATGGGGACTCTATTTTTGTTAATTTTATTTTCTCACAGATGTGTTGACATCTGTCTCAAATTCATTAAAATCAGCTTTATGTGCACTCTTGCATACTTTATTAAATTAGTTGAAATAGTTCATTTTTGCTAACGTGCATATATGTTTTAAAATATTATGATGTCATTGAAGCTATTAGACTAACAACTTAATGCTCAGTAATGTCAGTTTCTTCCTAGATGTTGTATATAACTGTTGCTCAACACGAATGTTGTACACAGGTTGGAATTTAGACTGTCACTTCACGACAATTGCCTTTTCATAATTCATTACAGTGAATGGATATAAGCGCTGTGTTGTTGCTAAGCAACAGTTGTTTTATTTTCTGTCTACATGTATGTACTTTTATTAGTGTAGTATTAAGACACACGCTCGTAACATTTTTTTCTAATCATTATTTAATTCATTATTTCTATTGAAGAGCTAAATCAATGTATGTAAACTTGGGTGAAAGTTGGGTACAGGATGCCCTAACTCATGATATCATATACTGTGGAATACTTAATTTTCGCTTGGAATTAATTTTCACTAATTTCACTAAAGGAATGATTCAGCGAAAATAAAATCAAATGAATATACCTTTTTTCCTATATTTAACATTCAACTTGCCAAAATCAGCGAAAATAAATTCCATACACAAAACACCCAAAAAGTCTTTTTAGCGTAAATTAAAGTATTCTACAGTGATTCTTAGCTGGTGAAATAGATGTAATAGTTGCATATATATTGAACTAGTACACATAACTGAATAAAAAGAGACTTCTGGCCATTGTTGTATTTAAAAAAAACGATGTTTCCTGCTGTAGACTACTATGCTACCAATAATTCGTTGATAGTCCGTTGCCTGTAACATGTTTGTAGTTATTTAGTTATACCTAAAAAACAAACACAGATAAAGAAAAAATGAGATGTGATTGTCCGATTCACAGTTAATTTGTGTGACTGAAAGTGTTGAAAAATGGTGTTTTCAATAATCAGAGTACTCTAAAAAGCACAATAGTGAATTGACTATCAGGTACTCTCTGAGACAAACATTAGTACGGCAGATGCACAGCCATCTTCGCCAAAGCTTTCAGGTGATATATAGGTTATACTAGCTTTGAGTGAATGTTTGAATCTTACATAAATCTTCAACATGTTTTACCCCTGTTGCAATCTTAAATACGTTTCACTCTATATTTGACTTGTAGGTTGTATATGAGCTTTTTCTCTGATATGAACATACATGTTGTGAACTGCTGTTTATGCAAATGGTACCATATTTACTCTATTAGCAGCACATGGGCTTACGTAAATTAAAGAATTTTCTGTGGTCAAAATAAGTAATTTTTAATGATTTAATGGAATTGTTGGTTTATATGCACTTCTATTTGAGATTCACTTGTAATAGATTGATACGATATATTCCTATTTCAACTTATTTTAATCCTTTGATCACCAAGGTCACCATTGTCAACTTTTGGCACCATTCACAAAATAGTTCTATATACCATATGTGCATATTAATTAGGTAATTTACATATCATTAACCATTTGAGCACCAAAGACAACTTTTGTCACTATTCACAAAATAGTTCTATATACCGTATGTGCATATTAATTAGGTAATTTACATATTAACCATTTGAGCACCAAAGACAACTTTTGTCACTATTCACAAAATAGTTCTATATACTGTATGTGCATATTAATTAGATAATTTGAATATCATTAATCATTTGAGCACCAAAGTCAACTTTTGTCACTATTCACAAAATAGTTCTTTATACCGTATGTGCATATTAATTAGGTAATTTGAATATCATTAATCATTTGAGCACCAAAGTCAACTTTTGTCACCCTTCACAAAATAGTTCTATATATGGTATGTGCATATTAATTAGGTAATTTGCATATCATTTAACCCTTTGAGCACCAAAGTTAACTTTTGGCACCATTCAGAAAATTAAACCCATAATTTTTTTTTAGATTTGTTTCAAAATTTTGATCAAGGTCTGTGGGCAATAGAAAATGATATTTGCTTATTCCAAAATTATCCCCAAAATCTTTTGAAAAATAAATAAAAATAGGAAAACGTTGTACTACATATTTGACGGGAAAAATATGTCACTCAAAGGTTAAAGTTTAAAAAAAACATTTACCTAAATTTAACTTCAAGGATCAGCCATTAGCAGAATTTGTGTTATAAAAGTAAAAGAACACGAAACTGACAAACCTTTCAATAAGCTAGTGTCATCAAGTACTTGATTGATATCCAGGGAGTGCGCCTATGTGTGAAAAGGTGGGAGAGAGTGAGGCAAATTAATC